CTTTAAGATATCAAGAAAAACCAAAAATCAAAGCCAGACTACTTTCCGTGATCTCAAATCCATTTTGAAACAGTTTTGCATTAAATTTGAATCAATACTAATATATAAGAAATTGTTCCTCCAAAAACAAAAACAACAAAAGTAGCCAGGTGTGGTGACAAACACTTGTAATCTCAGAACTTGGGAGGGTAAAGCAGGAAGATCACTGAGTTTGAGCCCAGCCTCAACTACACAGTGAGATCTTGTCTCAACCCCCCTCCAAAACAATAAAAAAAAGCAGAAAAAGTAAATAAACTGTCCCTTCTTTAAAGACAGTCACAAAGTTCAAAGAGAAAATTTTAATGTATTTAATTTTTAACCAATTTTTACAGAATTTTGATAAGTGTGTTAAGTGATGAACTTGTTCAGATTTTCTTTTATTTTAATTAATAAACTACAACTCTGGTCTATTGGCTCTATGTAACTCAGACTGGCCTCATGCTGGGCTACAACTCCTGATCCATATGAATGAGAGTCCTCCTGTTTAGACTTCTATGTTTGTGTTTTGAGTCAGAGTCTTGCTGGTTTTGAATTAACTCACCAACTGTTGAGATTACACATGTGCTCCACCATATCCAGTGAGGCTTCAGTGTTTTTTTTATTGTTTTGTTTTGTTTTAGAGGAACCAGGGATTGAACTCAGGCCCTTGTGCTTGCCAGGCAAACGTTTATTCTACTGAGCTATCTCCCTGGCCCACCTTCAGTTTGTTTTAAAGGTAAAATTGTTGGCTCTTAAATACTTGATGGTTTTCTTTTTGTTTGTTTTTTTTTTTGGTGCCAGGGATTGAACTCAGGACCTTGTGCTTGCCAGACAGACACTTACACTACTATCTCCCTGGCCCTTGTATTTGCTTTTGGCGTTTTTTTCAGACAGGATCTTGTCATGCAGTTCAGGCTGGCCTTGAACTCACTGTATAGTCCAGAGTAGCCTTTGTTTTGATTTGAGACAGGATTTTGCTATGTAGCTCAGGCTGGCCTTGATCTCAGTGTATAGTTCAAACTGGCTTTGAACTTATGGAGATCCTACCTGAGCTTCCTAAACTCTGAGATTACAGGAGTATACCACCATATCTAGCTTTTTTTTTT